AGCCCCCCCCCCTTTTTTTTCCAAATATAAACTTAGTATAGACATTGAACATTCTGCGTAGGTTTAGGTGTTTGGGAAAAGGAGATTTCCCTTTTTTTGTTTGTTTGTTGTTTATTTTTTGCTTGTCTGTTTTTTTTGAAGGTATAGTTGTTGTTTTTTAAAACTTAGCCCCCCTTTCAATTTGCTTCCGACGCCAATGGATTGTAGTCTCAAAGCAAAATTGTATAATTTCATCTCCGATTTATACGGAAGAAATCGATCATGGTAAAATAGATCTGATGGTTTACGTGTGGCACAGCTCTCACGTACTCAGATATTTTTGTCAGAGCCCCCCCCACCAAACATTAACCAGAAGTCTCTGTCGAGACTGAAGCTCTACTGGTTTGAACTTATAGCAAAGGAAGAGAAAGTACTTAAGCAGCTGGGATTTGAAACTTTATAAACAGCATTAAATAGAATAATGATCGTTGATAAAGTCTCTTTATGTTCTTAGTGTAGTGTACTTGTGTGCCAAGTTATACTGAAATCAGACCAAAACTGTAGGAGGAGTAGCATTTTGAAACAATTTTACAGACATTTCTATTTTTAGTAACCACGGCAACACCATTCATCAAAATTAAATTCGATAAACAGAATTATGTCTCTTAGTGTATTCTACTTGTGTGCCAAGTTATATTGAAATCAGACCAAAACTGTAGGAGGAGTAGCATTTGGAAACAATTTTACAGATATTTCTATTTTTAGTAACCACGACAACACCATTCATCGAAATCAAAAACCGATAAACAGAATTATGTATCTTAGTGTATTCTACTTGTTTGCCAAGTTATACTGAAATCAGACCAAAACTGTAGGAGGAGTAGCATTTTGAAAGAATTTCACAGAAATTTCTATTTTTAGTAACCACGGCAACACCGTTCATCGAAATCAAAAACCGATGCACAAAATTATGTATCTTAGTGTAGTCTACTTGTGTGCCAAGTTATATTGAAATCAGACCAAAACTGTAGGAGGAGTAGCATTTTGAAACAATTTTACAGAAATTTCTATTTTTAGTAACCACGGCAACATCGTTCATCGAAATCAAAAACCGATATACAGAATTATGTATCTTAGTGTAGTCTACTTGTGTGCCAAGTTATACTGAAATCAGACCAAAACTGTAGGAGGAGTAGCATTTTGAAAGAATTTCACAGAAATTTCTATTTTTAGTAACCACGGCAACACCGTTCATCGAAATCAAAACCGATACACAGAATTATGTATCTTAGTGTATTCTACTTGTTTGCCAACTTATACTGAAATCAGATCAAAACTGTAGGAGGAGTAGCATTTTGAAAGAATTTCACAGAAATTTCTATTTTTAGTAACCACGGCAACACCGTTCATCGAAATCAAAAACCGATATACAGAATTATGTATCTTAGTGTTGTCTACTTGTGTGCCAAGTTATACTGAAATCAGACCAAAACTGTAGGAGGAGTAGCATTTTGAAACAATTTTACAGAAATTTCTATTTTTAGTAACCACGGCAACATCGTTCATCGAAATCAAAAACCGATATACAGAATTATGTATCTTAGTGTAGTCTACTTGTGTGCCAAGTTATACTGAAATCAGACCAAAACTGTAGGAGGAGCAGCATTTTGAAAGAATTTCACAGAAATTTCTATTTTTAGTAACCACGGCAACACCGTTCATCGAAATCAAAAACCGATACACAGAATTATGTATCTTAGTGTAGTCTACTTGTGTGCCAAGTTATACTGAAATCAGACCAAAACTGTAGGAGGAGTAGCATTTTGAAAGAATTTCACAGAAATTTCTATTTTTAGTAACCACGGCAACACCGTTCATCGAAATCAAAACCCGATACACAGAATTATGTATCTTAGTGTATTCTACTTGTTTGCCAACTTATACTGAAATCAGATCAAAACTGTAGGAGGAGTAGCATTTTGAAAGAATTTCACAGAAATTTCTATTTTTAGTAACCACGGCAACACCGTTCATCGAAATCAAAAACCGATATACAGAATTATGTATCTTAGTGTTGTCTACTTGTGTGCCAAGTTATACTGAAATCAGACCAAAACTGTAGGAGGAGTAGCATTTTGAAAGAATTTCACAGAAATTTCTATTTTTAGTAACCACGGCAACACCGTTCATCGAAATCAAAAACCGATGCACAAAATTATGTATCTTAGTGTAGTCTACTTGTGTGCCAAGTTATATTGAAATCAGACCAAAACTGTAGGAGGAGTAGCATTTTGAAACAATTTTACAGAAATTTCTATTTTTAGTAACCACGGCAACATCGTTCATCGAAATCAAAAACCGATATACAGAATTATGTATCTTAGTGTAGTCTACTTGTGTGCCAAGTTATACTGAAATCAGACCAAAACTGTAGGAGGAGTAGCATTTTGAAAGAATTTCACAGAAATTTCTATTTTTAGTAACCACGGCAACACCGTTCATCGAAATCAAAAACCGATACACAGAATTATGTATCTTAGTGTATTCTACTTGTTTGCCAACTTATACTGAAATCAGATCAAAACTGTAGGAGGAGTAGCATTTTGAAAGAATTTCACAGAAATTTCTATTTTTAGTAACCACGGCAACACCGTTCATCGAAATCAAAAACCGATATACAGAATTATGTATCTTAGTGTTGTCTACTTGTGTGCCAAGTTATACTGAAATCAGACCAAAACTGTAGGAGGAGTAGCATTTTGAAACAATTTTACAGAAATTTCTATTTTTAGTAACCACGGCAACATCGTTCATCGAAATCAAAAACCGATATACAGAATTATGTATCTTAGTGTAGTCTACTTGTGTGCCAAGTTATATTGAAATCAGACCAAAACTGTAGGAGGAGCAGCATTTTGAGAGAATTTCACAGAAATTTCTATTTTTAGTAACCACGGCAACACCGTTCATCGAAATCAAAAACCGATACACAGAATTATGTATCTTAGTGTAGTCTACTTGTGTGCCAAGTTATACTGAAATCAGACCAAAACTGTAGGAGGAGTAGCATTTTGAAAGAATTTCACAGAAATTTCTATTTTTAGTAACCACGGCAACACCGTTCATCGAAATCAAAACCCGATACACAGAATTATGTATCTTAGTGTATTCTACTTGTTTGCCAACTTATACTGAAATCAGATCAAAACTGTAGGAGGAGTAGCATTTTGAAAGAATTTCACAGAAATTTCTATTTTTAGTAACCACGGCAACACCGTTCATCGAAATCAAAAACCGATATACAGAATTATGTATCTTAGTGTTGTCTACTTGTGTGCCAAGTTATATTGAAATCAGACCAAAACTGTAGGAGGAGTAGCGTTTTGAAAGAATTTCACAGAAATTTCTATTTTTAGTAACCACGGCAACACCGTTCATCGAAATCAAAACCCGATACACAGAATTATGTATCTTAGTGTATTCTACTTGTTTGCCAACTTATACTGAAATCAGATCAAAACTGTAGGAGGAGTAGCATTTTGAAAGAATTTCACAGAAATTTCTATTTTTAGTAACCACGGCAACACCGTTCATCGAAATCAAAAACCGATACACAGAATTATGTATCTTAGTGTAGTCTACTTGTGTGCCAAGTTATACTGAAATCAGACCAAAACTGTAGGAGGAGTAGCATTTTGAAAGAATTTCACAGAAATTTCTATTTTTAGTAACCACGGCAACACCGTTCATCAAAATCAAAAACCGATACACAGAATTATGTATCTTAGTGTAGTCTACTTGTGTGCTAAGTTATATTGAAATTAGACCAAAACTGTAGGAGGAGTAGCATTTTGAAAAATTGTTTACAGACAGACGGACAGACAGACGGACAGACGGACGGACGCCGGACGCATTACTATCGCATAAGCTCTTCTGGTCTCTGACCAGTAGAGCTAAAAACCGTTGCTACCGACCTCTATTAGACGGTAATTGGATGATTGAAATATCAAATTATTTTGCGAGCCTTGATGCACAAAATTAATGCCGGTGAAAACTTGTTTTATCTTTTAAAAGCTTTAACTAGTCTTTGATTGACGTTTTTCTTCATGTTAAGTTACATGACTTATTGTATTGATATACCGCAAGTTCTTCCTACTTTTTGAAATAATTGTGCCATAGAACATGTGGAATCAATAAAAGTATACGTTTTAGAGAAAAATTCGGATCTGCCCCTAAATATATAAATGCAATATGCGCGATTTGCCAATAAATGGCATTGATTCTAATAGGGCGAATCATTCTACGGGCAAGTTGCCTAAGGTGCGAACTCTCTAGCATATTCGCGCATGCGTAGCCTGCCGTTTGCCCATGGATCCGGGGCACAATTAAAGGGTGAAGGTCAAATGGCTAAAACGTAGCACATGTAGGAAATTCATATGCCTCCCTTTCAATGATAAAAATAGAAATAGCTCACATGTTTTAGATACTTTTGGGGTATAGAATAAAAGTAGAGTGTCTAAAGTTTACAATGATATGCAGCAAGGTGCATTTCAAGCAAAAATTATGCCTAGAAATATGAATTGAAAAGAGCATTCATTTGGTTTGTTTACACTTTTTTTGCCAAGCGAGAGCTATCCCGAGGTCATGACGTCAGAAGTTTATTAATAACCAGGGAATTCCACATTCAACACCCCTATTTCTGGATGTGAATATTGATCTGACACATTGCTCTATCATGTGGTCAAAGATATTTTGGAAATGAAGATTTTTAAAAAAGTTACAAAGAAAATAAAACACATGTTTTTACTATATAAGTCTATATGTAAGCTAATTGTGGTCCGGGTCCTTATGATGGGGTGTTTGAGGGATTCCCCTGAATTTATTTTTAAAGATATTACAATGAAATTTTGACAGGAGGTGGGTTATGCATTTTGAAATAGTTTCTTGAAAATTTAAAAAAAATATTTAAGCATTTTAAAATTAATTTTTATAAAAATTTAAATTTTTTGAGTGATTGAAAAAAAAATTAAATTATGTATCCCAGAATGCAATATTTCAGGGGAATTGATATGTCGGTGAAAAAGGTCACATTAGTGCATTCATTGACCAGTCAAATAGTTCCTTTTTAAAAATAGAAAAACTGTTTTGTAATGTGTATTTGCATGTGTATTCTTAATAAGGGGTCCCTTTGAAGTCATAGATGAAAGACGAGGTGTTTATTGGAAATGACAGACAAGCTATCCATTGATTTCCCCCACCCAAAATAAGGCGCAATAAGGTGGTGATTGGGCCAATATTTACAATAACATGTGCATGGATTTATTTGCAGGAAACCGCACGTGGAAATGGGATTCAGGCTTTGCCCGACTCATAATTGCACATGCAGGCAGAGGTTGTGTATTGGAGTTTATAATTTCAGGTAAGTGGAAATTATGTTGTGTAAAAATATGTACTTTTCACTAAAGTAGAAATGGGGGTTGATGGGTTTGTCTTTTCAAGGAAGATGGGGGGGGGGGGTATAGTTTGTAGTTTTTGACAAAAATATTGATCAGTAAGTAAGTAAGTATGTATGTATGTATGGATGCATGTATGTACATGTGTGCGTATGTGTATGATGTGTGTTATGTATTTATGTGGAAGTTTGGGGGTTGTGGCCTGGTGTTAATTTTTACACATTTCTTATACGACTTTGTATAGTAGGTATCTTTTCGAATAATTTGGTTGGCCCTGAGAAGGGCCGTTTTGTCTTCGTCTTGGCAACTCATGTCTGGTAGTAGGTGTGATCCTCTGGATTGTCTCCCTTGGACTGTAGGTAGGTGGGTTTGGGATCAAGTTGCCCTTTGTTGTAGGTGCATCTGGGTTTGGTCTTTCCTTTTCTAGCCGCCGCATGTTGTTTTATTAGCGTAGCTTTTCTCTGCATTTCTCGCCTTTTAACTGCTTTTCTCTTTCTGTATTCTCTGCGATAGGCATATTCCTGGTCAATGCTTTTTAGGTACTGATGTGTGTGGCCGGACAGTGGCAATGTAATCTCTGCTGCTTTCATGGATGTTGCTAGTCCTGGACTGTTGTTTTGTCTTAAAATCTCAGCTGAGAGGATTCCTTCAGCATTTCTTGAATAGTTGGTGTGCTTAGGTAAAACTTCGCTGACTGCTCTGTTAAGACCCTCACATTTCTGAGTTGACGTGTTGAGTTTCATTTCCTCAATGGCACTTTGGCTAAGTCGCATCTCAAGAATGACTTTTAACAAGTGCTTGTCATTTTCATTCAGGTGCAGGGATGTCAGTTTGTTCGGGGCGAGGATATAAGACTGATTCCACCAGTTGTGTCTGTCTCCACCTTCACACACCACTGAATTCCTTCGACATTTTGAACAGTCTCCTGAGTAGCAGAGGATGGTACTTTCTACGACAAGAGGAAGTTTACCACAGATGATGTTGATGTCTCCAGTGTAGGTATCCATGAGTTTCTTATAGACTAAGCTGCACCGGGCCTTTACATCTTGTGCAAAAACTTTTCTCATGTCGTCTAACCTCGTTCTTGTTTTGCAGGGAAACATCTCGGGGCTGAAGTGGGCACTGCGACACTGCCGGAACTGGGCTCTGCTGACATGGGTTGGGTCGGCCAGTCGAGTGACTTGCCAGTCTGGATGAAAAATACGCATGGCATCTTGGAATCCCTGGGCTGACCGGGCATCACCGTCTGTTGTGGCGTGCTTCACCTTGAACCCGTCCGCTGCCAGATCTTCGCCTATGGATTTAGCCATCTGGTACTCTGAAAGAGGTGAGAACATTTCAATATTAGCTGTGCAGTCTTCATGACCCCCCGGACAATGAACATCATAACCATTACCTCGAAGCCAGGTTCCAGTCCAGCAAAGTTTGTTCTGCATTGATCATGTTGATGCGCCAATAATATACTGTTTGTTGGTGTTGGTCTCGCATGCAATGGCGTAAGCTTGTGATGCATTGTAGCCTGGCTTTTTGCTGCTACCGAAGGTTATGGAGTTGTAGCGTCCATCTATGGCAATGTCCAGTTCCTCTGGATGTTCTTGACCTTTGACCTGGTTGATGGCCTTAACCAGTTGTCTCTTCTCACCCATGTCTTTTTTATTCAGGGCTAGAGTGGCTGTGTCGACCTGGTTGCTGGCCCTTTGCATGGAACTGCGGTTAGGAGGTGGAATGTCCAAGGCAGCTACCATTTCCCGACTGCGTCGATTCCCCATGGAGGTGTTCTGCAGGGCTAATTGAAAGTTCCAGTTGATACTGGCAGGATTAGGGCCTGGTTTGTTAAAGGTAGGAATTTCAGTGTATAATTTATAGTAATTTGTCTGAAAATTACATACCGTACACAGTAGTCTCTTCTGCCATCCAAACCCCCATTTCCTCTGTCCTGAGTATTCCCACACTGGAAAATTACAGTGCTTGGCCTGGTCAAAGTGGCATTTGGCTGCATCATTAAACATTTCCAAGACCAATGTTATGTCAACAATGCGGTTTCCCTCAAACTCATAAGACGTCTCTTCATTTTTTAGCTCCTGGCATGGCTCAGGTCTGGGACGAAGGATCGGTGTCCTTGAGATGTTTTCCTGGCCTTCAGCAAGGGGATGTGCTGTCTCGGTCTCTGGGGATCCCTGGATGTTTGACGCTGAACTTGAAGCTCCTGCGGCGTTTGACGTAGCCTGATGAGCCTTAATATAATGAGTGTTCCCTTTTTTAAATCCAAAATTAAGATTTTTTCTTCTTTTATGGTCACCTTTCATTGTTTTCATGTGTAGTGAAGAGTGGATTTGAAAGCAAGATTGAATTATGACAATGTTTATTTGGACACTTTTTTAGTGGTTTTTACTGCAATATATTCCTTTGACAATCACCTGTCAAAACAGACTCCCATAGGGTATTAAGATTACCTATACAAAGACTCTTAGCCAATCAGCTGCACATGGCCCCTCTTCACAGTCAGGAAAAAGGATATGGGGGTGGGCTTAAAAATCTGTTTATTTTGAATGTTATGTACACTTTTATCAGTAATGTGATACATCATTTGATTTATGAATAAATGTACTTTAAATGTTTACCCCTATTGTCACTCTCAGATTTTCATGATAGATTTTATATTTCTTAATTTAAGAAAATTTTATGAAAATGCAGGGTACAGATCATCAAATTACCTAGAAATCTAAAAATCTTGTATTTTACATATTTAAGAGTGTGTGTGTGTTTAAGAGGTATCAACAACTTACTTGTAATAATTAGTTCCTTTTATTGTCTAACAGTTTTTACATATTTCAATTTTAAAATTTCATACTTGCCATTTTTTGCCATTTTCTTTCCTGTATTGCCTTAGTATACACAATATGTAATTTTACATGTAGATATCAACCAATTTCAATCAAACTTGGTATATTAGTTAAGTAGTATCTAAGGATTTCAAATATGGCCTTAAAATTTTTTAATGAATTTTATGCCTCCATATAGGATCCGGGCCACAATTAAAGGGTGAAGGTCAAATGGCTAAAACGTAGCACATGTAGGAAATTCATATGCCTCCCTTTCAATGATAAAAATAGAAATAGCTCACATGTTTTAGATACTTTTGGGGTATAGAATAAAAGTAGAGTGTCTAAAGTTTACAATGATATGCAGCAAGGTGCATTTCAAGCAAAAATTATGCCTAGAAATATGAATTGAAAAGAGCATTCATTTGGTTTGTTTACACTTTTTTTGCCAAGCGAGAGCTATCCCGAGGTCATGACGTCAGAAGTTTATTAATAACCAGGGAATTCCACATTCAACACCCCTATTTCTGGATGTGAATATTGATCTGACACATTGCTCTATCATGTGGTCAAAGATATTTTGGAAATGAAGATTTTTAAAAAAGTTACAAAGAAAATAAAACACATGTTTTTACTATATAAGTCTATATGTAAGCTAATTGTGGTCCGGGTCCGGCATCCTGTTTAGCCTCGCTTATATATTTTACTGCGTGGACCGCAGGGTCCACGCAATAAATTTTAAAATCACTTATTACCTTTTCTTTTAATGTTATATTTTCTTTTTTTATAATTAGTTACTTAAAAGCTTAATTAGAGCTAATCATCAAATTAAAATATGTGTATTTTATATATATATATATAAAAATACACGATAAAGGAAAAATAATAGAGGATTTCTACATGTATATCATTTTCTTTAAAATAATTAGAATTATCACCTTATTTAAAAAAAAAAAACTTCGTTAGCTGCTTGGATTGCATCAAGTCTTAGCTACTTTATTTCACTATTTAAACAGAGTAAATAAGAATAACCAAAAATACAGTGTAGCTATTGTAGATCTATATATATTTGGACATGACTTCATTTAATTTTTGGAATTCCTTGAATTTCGTATGAAGGAAACCCGATTACGGCCGAGTAAATCTAAAAATAAATGATAAATTATGTAAAATAATTCACTTTTAATTTTTTATTCATTCATACATTTATGCAAAGATGAAGTTTACTTGATAATATAATGAATTATTTATCGTATGTGTGTTACCTTATTAAAAGTTTACAATGAATGAATTACGAAACTTGTTTTTAATCGTATTGTCATTATTCTAAAGAGGTTTTTAAAATGATTTTTGGCACTGGTTTTTCAATTATTAAAAAAAACTTTGCACGCTTATTTTAAAGTTTCAACAGAGTATATTTTTTAAAAATGTTTAGATTTATTGATTGAAACGCAAATTTCGAAAATGTTCAATAATTAACTTGTAAATTGGTATCATGAGCTTTTTTGTCTTATGGGGGCATGTTGGAATAAGCTGGACCAGACATAAAGCTCAGACAACGGTCAGCCCCAATACTCGTGTATTATTAAGTCCGTCAAAAAATTATTCATCAACATTTAGTATAATTGAAGTTTGCACTCAGATAATGCATTGGATATATGCACGCTTATTGAATCAGATTTATTTCTGTTCATGTAAATTTTTATTCAAATGTTTTCAGAGATTGTTCTTTTTCGTTGTATATCTATCTTTTTTGCAGGTAGAATGCCTTATAAAGTTGGGGCGTTAGAAGTTGAATTGCTAATTGGAAAAATACAGGAAGTTAGGGTAAACATGATGACTTCTTTTTTTTTTTCAAAAGAAAAATTAAAGTTTGCATATTATCTGTAGATATTTTCTGGAAAAATAGCTAAAGGTTAAACAGGAATCGATATTTTCATTCTAAAGGTACATGTAAGAATAATATTGATATTTTGGTCAAGTATTTCTCCCCCTCCTCCTACATGCAAGATAAATTGAGAAAAGAAAAGTATGTCAATATGCAAGGTATTAGATAATATGATTTAGATACTCATAATATTTGTTTTACTTAGTAACGCAAAAGATCTCACAAACTAAATGCATGCTGCAACAAAATTATTTTGGTTTACAAGTGTAGACATGCAACTTAAAAAATAAAATTATACCCGGTACATGTAAGTAATTGTAAACGGTAATCTTGGCCAAAATAAGTTGCCTGTTACAACATTTTTTGCATGAGAAAATAATCACACAAAGATGCGAAGCGGATTCCAGTAAATCTTTTACCTATCCTCTTTCTTTACTTCTCACTTAAGGTAGGATTCTTCTCATATTTCTTGTATTTAAAAGTTAATGAAATCTTCACAGAATCAAGAGGGCAATATTACTAAGTAATGGTATTAGAGATTAAATTTGACGTTTAATATTAGAGGCAAGGTCAGGTCAAGGTCATTACCTTTTTCGTGGACATTAATGATAAAATATCACTGTTGCCTATTATGTCATCCCTTCTTGTATTTCAAAAGATTGAATGTTTTTCTTTTTGCATAAAAGATACTACATGTGCCATAAAGCGCTTATAAGATGATATTAACAAATTGACATAATTTAACTTCAAGATGTGATTGGTCGCCCGCGTGGCGCAGTGGTTAGAGCGTCTGCTCTAGAGTAGCGAAGTAAGGAGTCAATCCTTACGTCGCGGGTTCAAATCCCACTGTGGGACGTGGAGACCGGCCCTTCGGATGAGACCGTATAAACCGAGGCCCCGTGTCGCACTAGGTGCTGGCACGAAAAAGATCCCTCACTGCTCAAAGGCCCTGAGTGCCGAGCATAGGACAAATTTTGTAGCCCTCCACCGGCAAGTGGTGGCGTCTCCATATGAGTTAAAAATTCTCGAGAGGGACGTTAAACATTATACGATCAATCAATCAAGATGTGATTGTGAAACACTATGCGCCCGGCGGCAAAAAAGTTCGAAAAAGGTTTTTTTAGCATATAGGTCGCAGAGAAGGTCACAACGTAATTAACCTTGGTGTCATTTGAAAGAGCTTAATTAGTGGAGTATGCATACCAAATCTTTCACGGTTCAAAAGTTATGGCGAAGGTTAAAGTTGACAACAAACAGACAGAGAGACAAACAGACAGACAGTACAAAAAACAATATAAGCCCCGATCTATCAATCCGGACGCATAAAAATGGATATTGGCTACTCCGAGTTTTCTCTACTTTTCTTACATTTTTAGGATATATTAGTTATTTTTATATTCTTCTTATGTTTAATTTTTTTTCTCATTTTCACATATCGTAAAGTTGTCACATATAGATACAAAATGATACAAAAACAAAAAGTTTTGAGCGTTTACTCAGACATAAAAAGTACGTTTAACAGATTTTTTGCTCAAAACTGTAATCAGATTGGAAGCTTATAAAAGCTAATATAGTTCTAGTTTGTTTGAAAAACCATATTTTTAAAAAATATATTTAGGAACTTTA